TAGTTAGGGACAGCACAAACACTGGTAGAACCTTGATGTGCTACAGATTAAAATGTCACACATGTCGTTTAGTTTTCTGCTTGAATCCACTTGGGCATCAGACACATTGACACACCGACCTTAGACTCTTTCCAAAGCGGTTTGACTTAAAAGCTTTGTGTCACAGAGGATGTTTGTATCATTAGCAAACATCCGCTGAATAAAATGAGTCTTTAGGTTAGTCACGGGCATTACTGTTGACCCAAACTAGTTCTGATAGTCGAGCTTACTGTACAAACTGGCATCAAACCCTCTCTCCTCGATTCACTATCAGGACAAACTTTGGGTCATCTTGAGTCAACAAGTTTTCTACCGGTCTCCAAACTGAGAGGCCCTTGATCATTACATTTTTTTCTCGTTTGCTTTGCCTTTACGACTGGCGACATGCCACCTCCAGGACCTCTGAGCTCGCCCACATCACCAGAGAGCCGCCGCTGAAATGCATCAGCTCAGCCCCCCCCCCTCCATATGTTTAAGTGATTGCTGACATAATTTATGAAGGGAATGAAAAATAATGTCTGCATCGCAATAAAACTTATTTTTTCAAAAGAGAGATCTATAATTTATTTGGCCTGCCACAAGTCAGCACTCTTGGCTACCGAAGCCCCCCCCCTCACACATCTAATTCTGTGCATTTGCAGTTTTCTCGTTTTTCCTCGCTGGAGTACGGGGGGCCATCTTTAGGGGGTGGTAGATTTTAAGGGTGTGGGGGGGTTAGGGGTATCAAGCGGGTGCTGAAGGGGGGGGGGGGTTCGGGACTGGACTTTTGGCTTGGGTCTAGGAATGCCTTCACGTTTACAAACAGACGGGCTCTTTCGCTAGCCCTGTTTGCCTTTGTGGCTTTATTTTTTTTTTTTCAAGGCTCATACGGGCAAACACACAGCGGGACACACTGGCTTGTTGATCGCCTTCACAGACCGGCTCATAAACCCAGCAAGCATGAATGTGGGGGCCTGTGTGTGTGTCGTTTGTGTACTTCTGAGCAGCTCCGGACACCCCCCCACCCCGGGTGTTGTGGAAGTAAACAACAAATAATTATTAACCGTTGAATCATGAGATTGAGGCACGAGGAGGCTAGCATTCCCTCTAAGTCAAGTTTCAACGTAAATAAGAAATTATAGTTTGATTGTGCTGCAACGTTTGTCTGTTCCTGTTTATGGATGTTGCTTGGAAACAACACTAAATCACATTGTTCAACATGTGGCATCTCTCTCGCTCTCTCTGACTCCTTCGCTTGCTTCCTCGCCCTCTCTCCGTTTGCAGGGAACTGGGATGCATGGCCTCATTGTTTGGCATCATTATTACTGACAGGCCCAAATTACTTGAATGATGGGAAACCCTCATACAAAATGAACACGGTGTGTTTACCCTGCCTAAATCATGTTGCTCATTGAAGAAGAAGAAGAAGAAGAAGAAGAAGAAGAAGAAGAAGAAGAAGAAGAAGAAGAAGAAGAAGAAGAAGAGAAGAAGAAGAAGAAGAAAAGAAGAAGAAGAAGAGACGTAAGAAGAATAAGAAGAAGAAGACAGAATAAGAAGAAGAAGAAAGAAGAAGAACGAAAGAAGAAGAAGAAGAAGAAGAAGAAGAAGAAGAAGAAGAAGAAGAAGAAGAAGAAGAAGAAGAAGAAGAAGAAGAAGAAGAAGAAGAAGAAGAAGAAGAAGAAGAAGAAGAAAGGCCTCACATCCTGACATCTGCAAAGCACCTGTCCTGAGCTCTGCATGCTAGCTGAGCCAGAGCACATTGAAACAGCTATCTCCCCTCATTTTACTCGCTGCCCTTGAACAAAGCCATGACCGTCACGTGCGTTAACAGTTGACAACCTCTGCTGTGTTTTTTCCGGTCTCCACTCAGTCTGAGCATTGGATGTGTTTCAGATGATATCACATGTTGTTCAAATGTGGGAATTTATTATCATGACTTTATTGCAATTTAAAGTTGTTAATAAAGAATAGGAAAATACACCAGGCTCGTTCTTGTATGAACTTCTACATTACCATAGAAAGTCCAGATGAATAACTGTTTTCAGATACTAAATTATAAACTTGGAAGCCTACCTAGACTGTTCACATAGGCCTATAGCCTACTTTATATGTGTGGCAATCATGGAAAATGTTTTAGTTTAAGAAGTACTGAGTAGCATATTAACTACAAAACAAACTGACAAATGATTTTCCTTTTTGAAAGACTATTTAAAATGTGTTTAATTCCTTCTCTTTTTAATTCTGGATGTTAGCTATGCTGTTCTTTATGCTATTTTAGGGGCTATCACTTTTGATAACATAGTCCCATTCTACACCGCACTTGTCCAACATAAACAACAAATAAAGGTAATCAATGATAGATGATGTTGACATAAAACCTTTTCAAATCATATCATCCTTTTTGGAAAAAAGATAGTTAATTGTGCAGACCCCCATATGTGAAGAAAGCCTGGCTAAGCCTCGCAAGCTAGCTATATTAGCAAACATTTATTGTGGCAATCTTGCTCGTCTCCTTAACCTCCTTTCTTTTCCTCAAATGATCACATCAACATGTAGATATGTATGTTCCTGTGGGAAAACAATAGGCACAGTAGATAAAAGTGGACTTGTGGTGGAAGCAGGATTTACAGCCGTTGCAGTAGGCTAATGTGTTTGCTAGCTTACAAACATTAGCCAGTCCCCTACATCTGCTTACAGAATAAACCCTATATGCTGTATATTCCTATACAAATAAACTATTATGCTGCTTATTTATATATAATAACATTTGAAAAAATAGCCCTAATAAAAAAGTTAAATTAAAATAATTACAGCTTTCATCAAGTGCCAATAATCTAGTTTCACAGTACTTTATTTATCAAATGCACATGAAGCCTCACATCCAGTGTAAAGAGACAGTGCAACAACATGATAATTGTGAACTTGTTAGTAGGCTACTGCTCACAGTTTGTGAATATTCAGTATCAGCGTGCCTGTCACTCAGAGCAGCTGAAGGGCAGTGAACAGCTTCGGTCCAGTGAACAATCTCAGTGGACCCACATTGCTCTACATGCATGCTTTCACTGTTCAATATTCCTCAGCTCTGCTTCATCACATGACTGCCTGTCCCACTGACCTCCCACCAGACGTTATCAGTGGTTGTACATGCAAATAGTTTCCTGCATGGCTTTTGTTGGAGGGAGTTGTGTAAGCTGCCTTGGCTCAGAACAAAGCTGGGCTTCTAGAAAGGGAGGAGGAGGAGGGTGGCAGTGCTGGGAAAGGTGCCTGGCCTTCATCAGCCATCGCCACCAATTCGGAAGTGAGTCACTCCTCTGCCGCGTGCAGAATCTCTCGCAAAAGGTCACCGCACTGCAGCACTCCTCCATTTCAACCGTTGCATAACGCCATCAGTACTGTAGTAAAGAGGCTGGTGAAAAAGTCATCTTACACAGATCAGAAACACTGTTTTAAACAAGCTTTTTGTATTGAAAGTGCTGTTCTGGATGCAAGAATAATCAGATTAGTTTAATGCAATCTAAAAGGGCAGAACAGGAAAACTACAGTTGTTCTACATTACATTGTTACATTGCACATTGAAATCCAGTTTTAATCAAAGTCTAGTTTATTTTAACCGTAGCTGTTATTTTGTCGTCCTTATTAGCTTGTCAGTTAGCTCTTGTTCCAACAACATGTGGCTCTCTGGCAACACAAGAAATCTCTATAATGAAATTATTATTTGGTCTCCAGGGCTTCTAACTTCATTTCCACTTACTCTTTTCCAAAATGGATAAGAAGTCAGTTTGTTGTCAGTTCCTTCCTCTAATGTCATTATGTAAGGGTTATATGATTATGTTAAGACACACAAAACCCTCTGTTGTACCTATTTTTATGACACACATGGAAATATTGTAAATATTACATGGCCAAAGTATTCTCTGAAATCATGATGTTGGTCATCAAGGAAACAAAGCATTCAAATCCTAACCTGCACTCATTGTAATATTTAACTTGTGTTGTGAAATCGTCCTTATAGACATACGTTTTTTTGAAGACAAACCACTTTATGAATACTGTGTGAACGCAGATGTTTAAAACACATTTTACTTTCTTTCTAGGATCAAATGTTGTCTTGTTCCCAGGTCACTATAGAGTGGCGAAGTCCCTCCCCTTCCGGTTGAGCTCCATGGGACCTTATTTCGGAAAAAGTATGTATTGAAGTCAATGGAGAGAGAAAGATTATCTTTCGATCCCATTTGAATTGTGCCACAAATTACTCATATGATGTTTGTCAATTTAAAAGATAATTTTGCAAGTCAAAACAAAAAGAAAGTAACACTTTTTTTGTGTGAAACCGCTCAATGAGCTACATCTCCCGTCTCGCACCACACACCCAGACGGTCACGTTGGAACATTTCACTTATTTCTTTCAGAATGAGGCGGAAAGTATTAAAAGAGGTGAAAATCACTCCAAGTCTGGGCATGTTGAGAGCTGCACATACACACAAGGGGAGTTAGTCGGTTCCGTGAGAGCCAGCATGTGGGACCGGGACTCAGGGATTTGTAGTCTTTTTTGACATGGAAATAATTTTTTAAGATTGACAAACATCATATGTGTAATTCGTGGCACAATTCAAACGGGGTGGAAAGATACGTTTTCTCTCTCCATTGACTTCATTACATAACCTTTCCGAAATAAGGTCCCATGGGGCGGAAGTAGATGGGCGGGACTTCGCCTCTCTATAGATGTTTGTCATAGGGTCTGTTTATACAGTATAGTTGTATACAGTTGGTTTGACTGTGTCCCTCTGTAATGCTTTTGATGTATACGAGATGAAGGCTTTTCTCAAAGAAAGATAAATAAAGTACTTTTCTAGTGCCACAACACATCTCCCCTCAACAGTCTGTGGTTGAAGCCTCTAACTGTGGTCCCATGATTAAGTGGTGCTCAGTGGATGGAGCTCTGGGCCTGACAGCTGAATATCTGTGTCTGTTTCCTGTCCCAGATAACGGCAGTATGCAGAGAGGCTGCCCTACTGGCCCTGCAAGAGGACATCAAAGCTCAGCTCATCGAGGCCAGACACTTTGAAAGTGCCCTGAACACTGTGAAGCCCCGGATCCCCGACTCTCTCATCCAGTCCTACATCAGCTATCAGCAGGACCGCAGCGGCCTGTGCTTCTTCTGAGCAGGCTGCCATGGAAAAAGTCAAACTAAGGCACTTTTCTCAAAGGAAATGTAATGTTGTTTTGGAAATAAATGGTTTCAGCTACCCTGGTTTGCTGTATAATTATGATAAGGAAGTGACATGTAAACCAGCTGAGCTGAACATGAAGTGCTAAATAAACAATTCCCAAACTGGTCTTTGAAATATTTTGTTTTTGCTTCATAGGTTTCGAAACATGTGTTTAGCTCAGCAGGACAATCTGGTTTAAGTTTCTAATGTTGAAAATTGAATTAAATTGAATATTTTTAAGTGAGCTGAAGTGTCTTGTTTGATTATATAAAAAAGTAACAATGTATTAAATATTCATTGACTTTGGTTGCCTTCTGTTTTTAATAGCAAAAGAACATTACAGGATAAAGAAAAGTCACAAATAGGCTCATAAACTCTGGTGATTTTAAAATGATTAAACTAAGTTTACAGCAGAATTAGACAGCTTGGAAAAGTCTGAAAAAGCACAATTTATAGACAAAATTAATATAATCCCATATAGCTATCATAATATCAAAGTCCTTACATTTCACTGCAATTAGTTTGGGGCAGTTATTTTACTGAACTTTAAGAGTTTTATATGAATGTATCTGATTTATCTCAACTTTTGCTTTTAATCTGTATTTTCTGCATGATTTCAGTGCAACAAAATGTGTTCTCTTTTGGATTTTGAACTATGCATTCAAATCAGAAGTTTTAAATAATATCACTAAGACCAACGACTTTTATTACTGTTTGATTCTGGATGTCATGATTCCCTTAATCAGAAGTATGCATTGTTTCCCCTTGCTTCAATGTTTATGTAATACAAAAACGGAATTGTTATTTATATCTGGGGACCTTCTGGACCCCCTTTAATAATCCCTAATGGTTCAGAAACCCCCAGTTTGGGAAACCGCTGCTCCATATCCACGGGGAGAAAAACAGCAGCGGCTGGTATATTCATCACATTCACCATGCATGGAAAATCAGCTAATTGCTGTAATCGTGAGATTTCCGTCCGCACTTCCGACCACTAAGAGCCGGGATCCAGGCGGCCATCTGTCGGTCTACCAGGATTTGCTTTATCACCAAGAAGCTGAATTCTAACATCCAGCCAAATAAGAACTTGTCATTACTGCGCCACACAGTCGCTTTAACAGTCCGTTAACTCTACTAGGGCTTTTCCTCTGTTCTTTTTTAAGCATTTACTGACCCGAAATGGCACTGGAGGTCATTCATCTATTGATTTTCCATTTGAATAGGATACATTGACTTTGTATTGAACTTCCTTTTCTCATGGATCCGGATGTAGCGCATCCGCGACACCAATCAAACCAGACAGTCAGGAACAGAGAGGAGGGGGGTGCAGCAGGGGGGGGGGGGGAGTCTTTCCCCTGGCTGCAGGGCTGCTTTTTTCTTAAGGTGGACCGGGACTAACACTAAACCTCCAACCACCACCGTTACCACCTCCCCCCATTCACAGATCGACCCATATAACGCTTGAAATGATGGGGAAATGTCCATATCACAGAGTTATGCAAGCTGCAGGCACATTGACACAGTGACACATTGAGTTTCCCCTGATGCCTAAATGCGTAATGGGAACCTTCAAGAGAACAGAGGCACATCCTGTTGATGTTTCCTCCTGAATGTCTATAAACTCACACAATTGTCTGTCCAGACAGTGGTTTCTAAACACCAGCAGGGATCTTTTTATGGAGTCTAGTTTAACTTTGATTAACTTGTTAAATGGTAACAACACGTTTTTGTGTCGGAGTCTGTTAAGCAGTGAATTATTAACTTACGTTTTTAAAAACGGTCTCCATTGAAGGTCATTAGTCCATGAACAAATGTAATTACATATGGATACTACATGTTGTGCTATATTACAACATGTGTGGTGGGGTCCTTAACATGTTTAAAATGTGTCTGAACCCCTTAATTAAAACACATTTAAAATACTGATTTAAGTTCAAGTCAGTTCAGCTCAGCATCTTAAGTTTTTTTTAAATGTTCATTGAGCTTTATAAAGTATACTTTCACTTTCTCTTTTGTTATCAACATAGTTTCTGTTGCCAACACAAATCAAGAAAATGCCTGTAATCTATTATTAGTTAGTTGTAGCCATAAGTTGTAATGCTTATAATAGTTTATGTATTTATTGTAATGTCTTTATGTTTGTGTAATTTGTATCTGTGTGTGTGTGTATCTCCTTACAAAATGCTATCTAGTATTTCAGTTTATTTTTAAAGCAGAGCAAAAACTATACAATTAAATAAAAATGTATAAAAGGGGATTTAACTAGTTATGCTAACCAAAATGACAAATCGGCAAGAATTTAGATACATATCCCACTCATTACACCACTATTAGTCACATTAACCTTATTCACATCATTATTCATAGCCCACAAGAACGGAAACTGGTCGTCTTTTTTTCTTCCATGAGCCCCCTCGTAGATGCAAAATAAAACCCCGGTCCACCTTAACTAGAGCACACATCTCTATCGCCCGGCCTTCCACATCTGCCCAATGAATCAGGAGCGGATGCGATGTATCCTTTTTCAGTGGAGTGAATGGCCAATGGGAGTTGGCTTGTGGAGCAAACACTGAGCCCTGCGTTCCCATTCATTCAGTGCTGAACAGGCCCGCGAGCAGTAGCGCGTGCATCGCTGTCTGCGACCCAAAGACGAGCGCAGACTCCATAAGCAACGACCATAACCGAACCCTCCGCTGACACTGGAAGAGGAGAAAAGCTTGGATATAAGCTCGTGTTTTGTTTTGTTTCCTGCAAGACTATTTTTGTGTATTTCACTACAATTCCTGCAGGACTTCTGTCACTAGGTTGCCTACAGATCGGCCTCCCAAGTGCGCAGCAGTTCCTTTCCTCCATCTGAGCTCCACCGTGGATTTACTTTGTTTTATCCGGGGACGAATGCATGCGTAAACCCGCGCTGAACTTCTCCAGGAAAAGGGAATAACGCAAAGGGATACACTTGGATTAACAGACTGTGAATGTTATGCATCAGACCTTATAGCCTACGCTTGGACATTGCCCCTTCCTTTTGGATGGAGTTTTGGTTGGCTATAGTTTGATGGATTCGACGTTATGGATGGTTGCATATAGGTACGTATCTTCCTTAGCATTTAACACTTTTTTGTACGTTTATCATGGTGCTTTTACGTTATTTATCACCCGATAGTAGTGCTCGTAGCGACCTAGTATGCTCCGCTGTAGGTGTTTTGTAACACTGGTGCACAAATCCCAAGACTTTAACGTGCCATTTTTTATGTTTGGCACTGAAAAAAACACCCGCTGCGACTTAAATTATTCGCGATCAGTTGATGAAGTTGATGGATTTCCATGTCCTTCCGTGGCTCTGCTGTAACAAACACCCTTCCCCCCACGGCGGTTGTTTTCATTCATAAGTTTTTCCCCGTCTATTTGGATGCGTCCTCTAATGTCTCTTGATCTCCGGCTCTGTGTGTTTCATAGGATCCTGCTTTTATTTATGCGCACGACGTTTCCTCCTATGAATGCACTGTGTGCAAACAATCCGATTTAAAGTGCCCCTCTTTGACGCGAAGACTATTCAATACAACACGTTAGTTTATTTGCAAAACGTAATACATATAAAATGCATCGCAGTGTCAGATGTAATATGTGCTTCACGGGGGAAACTGGCCTCATGCAAGTCGGTGTTGCTTTTAAAACATCTACGAAATACAAACCCACATTTATGATCGTGCTTATCGCATAAACACTTATTAGACGAATGATCTGCTTCATATAAACTTCAGAAGTCGTGTCTGTCCGTAGCGGTGCGTTAAGTTGTTTCGACATTTTCCCAATCGCTCGGTTGCTTTTCAACCAAAGTCTGTATTTTGTCGGAACTTGGTCTGACCTTAGCTTTTTTCTCTGCTCTACTTTTGTCCCCGTTTCCCTGAAATCCCTTTTGGTGTAGTAATAGAATACTAAGTGAGGCAGCTCATTTAGTTCCCTTGGATCGCGTCCTCATTTCGTCGCCGCGGTGCATTTAAATGTTAACTAGTCATACAAATGTAAATGAGCAGGGGAAGTATTTGTAGGTCCTACTGAAGTTTAGATGTGTGCGTATTGGGGAGGAAGCTACCAAAAGTCTTGTTAATAGTCAACTATTTTCCCGGGTTGCCTCACTTAAGGTGATCAAAAGTGACATATTGTCATGTTGACAGATTGAAAACAGTCTGAGTGAACTTTAAAAAGACCTTCCAATACTCAAGTGCACATGTTTATTCACCTCATACTGTAATCAGTGTTGTAAGGAGCTATTTCTGCTGCTTTAGTCATATTGAAAGAGATCATTTTGATAGTGATTGGTTTCCACTTGGCTTTGAATTTGAAATGGCCATGTTAACCTCCTTCACCATGACAGTGTGTTTGCCAGTTATGCCATGTTTTGGCTCTGTCTGATGATGTCTCCTCCCTCCCTCCCTCCCTCCCTCTCCTTTGTCTCTCCCCGGCCTATCTTCCCCCTCTGGCAGGTTTTCCGATGCATGCCAAGTCCACGGTGAATGTCGGAAGTGGTGATCCCCCCAGATGGAGCTCCAAAGTCAACATGGCCCCGGCGGTTCATTAGTGGTGATCCAGCAGCCTTCCCTAGAGAGCCGGCAGAGGTCGGATTACGAGCGGGAGCTCCAGCATGCCGCCATTCTCTCCCTGGACCAAATCAAGGCCATCCGCTCCAACAACGAGTATACAGAGGGGCCCTCAGTGGTACGGAGGCCCCCTGCACCCCGCATGGCCCCCAGGCCCCAGGACAAGCAGGAGAGAACTCACGAGGTCATCCTCGTCAATGTGAACAACAATTATGAGCACCGGCCATCAGGTCACCACCATCATGTCGGGGGCGGCATGGTGGTTGGGGGCCAGCAGTACGGAGGGTCCCGGGTGCCGGGGCTCAGCCGCTCCACTAGCACAGGAAGTGCCGCCAGTTCAGGGAGCAACAGCAGCGCCTCCTCTGAACAGGGACTCTTGGCACGCTCGCCCCCCACCAGGCCCGGCATGGGCTTACAGCACCACCACAGAGCGGAGCGGCCTGTTCGGACTCAGCCTAAGCCCAAGGTCCTTTCACAGCCCCAGCAGGGCCCTCACTTCCACCAGTCTCCACTAGAGGCTCCACTCAAGCCGCAGGG